GGGAGGCTGAGGCAGGAGAATGGCGTGAACCCGGGAGGCGGAGCTTGCAGTGAGCTGAGATCCGGCCACTGCACTCCAGCCTGGGCGGCAGAGCGTGACTCCGTCTCAAAAAAAAAAAAAAAAAAGAATCTAGCAAGTCCTCCTGTGCAGCCCCCATTGTACAGATGAGCAAACAGGCAAGGAGGGGCAGGGACTAGCTCACGCTCACACCGTAAGCAGCTGTCAGGGCCAGAGCTAGAATCCAGGTTTCTTGTCTCTGTTAGTGAGTTCTTCAAGCAAAGTGTGTTCATGGGGTACTGAGTGACAGATTAGTCAGTCGGTGGGGCTGGAGCTGGCCGAGGTGGCCTCACACCCACCCATTACCCCCCAGCTTCGTGCTGAACCTGGGCAAAGATAGCAACAACCTGTGCCTGCACTTCAACCCTCGCTTCAACGCCCATGGCGACGCCAACACCATCGTGTGCAACAGCAAGGACGGCGGGGCCTGGGGGACCGAGCAGCGGGAGGCTGCCTTTCCTTTCCAGCCTGGAAGTGTCGCAGAGGTGGGCTGCGGAGACTGGAACCGGGACCAGGGACAGGGGCTGGGTGGGCTGGGGCGGAGCTGGGTTAGTGACGAGATCTTGGCCTTGCCTGCTCTCTTTCCCCTCCTCTTCCCTCCCTTCCTGTGTGATGACCAGTGTCTGCCCCTCTTGGAACCTCAGTGGTTAATTAGAATAAAACAAAAGAAAAAAAAGCCTGGGCTCGGTGGCTAATGCCTATAATCCCAGCACTTTGGAAGGCCTAGGCGGGTGGATCACCTGAGGTCGGGAGTTCGAGATGAGCCTGACCAACATGGAGAAAAATACAAAAAATTAGCCAGGCGTGGTGGCGCCACTGCACTGCAGCCTGGGTGACAGAGGAGACTCCGTCTCAAAAAAAAAAAAAAAATCTGTCATGGGATTAGAGTAGAAAGAAAGAAAAAATATTATAAATGCACTTCCGTAGGCTCAGCCACAAACTGGGGCTGTGTCAGGGCCGCATGAGGAACGGGTTCTGGAAGGGCCCATGGCCTGTGGGCCTGGCTCACTGCTCTCCTGTACCCCCAGGTGTGCATCACCTTTGACCAGGCCGACCTGACCATCAAGCTGCCAGATGGATACGAATTCAAGTTCCCCAACCGCCTCAACCTGGAGGCCATCAACTACATGGCAGCTGACGGTGACTTCAAGATCAAGTGTGTGGCCTTTGACTGAAATCAGTCAGCCCATGGCCCCCAATAAAGGCAGCTGCTTCTGCCCCCTCTGAACCAGCCTCATGTGTGTGTATGTGTTTGTGTGTGCACGCGCATGTGTGTGTGTGTGTGTGAGAGAGAGAGAGGGGTCCCCCACCTCCAGGCCTGCCCCCTTCCTTCACTTCCATTTGCTTTGTCCACAGGTACCTCCTCAGTTCCAATGATGTCTTCTGCTGGGTCCCCCAGAGCAAGCACAGAGAGTCTGACACACAGTAGGAGGGTCAGTGACCACTGAATAAAAATCAGTCCCTGCCCTGAAACTGCTTTTAGCCTAGTGGGCCCTAGAACACAGCAGATGCTCAAACGATGTTGTGTAAATGACATCAAGAGGGAAACAGGCAAGGACAGACCACTTCATGTGTGGTGACGGGACAGAAGACAGGGAGGTGGAGGGAAGAATACGAGCCCCCTCTCATTTGCCTTCATGAGGTAGAGATGTGGAGTCAAGACAACATGGGGCTGCCAGCTGTGTGGCCTTGTGCATGTTAACTGACCTCTCTGAGCCTCAGCTTATTCCTTTATAACAAGGGGGATAATGCAAACAGCCTATCAAAGAGTTGTTCCAAAGATCAGTCGCTTCTTGGCCTTCTGGCTGAGATCAAGTGGAGATTAAATGAGGTGTTGCATGAAAGAAGCCAAGTTCAACACCTGCATATGGCAAATGCTCAGTGGTTGGTGGTTTCCCATACCTCGTGCACAGCCTTTTTTTTTTTTTTTTTTTTTTTTTAAGAGATGGGGTCTTGCTATGTTAACCAGGCTGGAGTGCAGTGGTTGCATACTGCAGCCTCAAAGTCCTGGGGTCAGGCAATCCTGCCTCAGCCTTCTGAATAGCTGGGACCACAGGTGTGCGTCACTGCACCCAGCTCCCTGCACCACTTTTGAAGTGCTATTACTCCAATCTGAAGGGGAAGAAATGGGCTCTGATAGATGAAATGACTCCCAGGTCTGTACCAGGCCCAGCTGAGCCTGCGGAGCTCCCCAGGGATCCTGTCTGTGGGCTTAGGCCATGCACCCCACTTAGCTAGAGTGTATGGGCAACCAAAGGACTAGTCTGGAGGCTGCCGGCTCTCATTCCTGGGCAGATGCCCCCACCCCAACAATGGGAAAGTAGGTGATGACCCTGGCACCCCATTGCCAGCCCCTGTTTCTGTGGTAGGAGGAGCTGGGGTTGGGGGCTCCATCAGCCCCTGCAGAGAACCAAGAGGTAAAAGCCAGCCAATATGAGGCCCAGCCTCCAGACTCCCGCAGCCTCCTCCTCAGGGGACAGAGTAGGGGTGACTCACCCCACCGGAGATGAGGTCTCCATGAACCTGTTCTCCTGGTTTCCAAAGATGATGTCTCCTCTAAGACCAGCCCAGGCTGTTACCTTGGAGGGTAATGCTTAACCCAACCCCATCCACCCACCCATCACAACTGATGGGGCCTGAGTGGACGACTGGGGTGCCCTGCACACTGAACACTTCCCTGCACCTTTTCCTTCCTGCCTGCTGCTGCAGTCAGATCTTCCCAGGGCCCCTACCTCCCTGGGAAACAGCTGCAGGAACTGAGCCAAGGTACAGAAGGTTAGAATCATCACTGGGCTCCCCCACAGCCCCAAGGCACAGTCTCCTGAGGCATGGTGTGTGGGTTGGGGGGTGGGGAGCTTGGCAAATCTCCCTTTCTAGGGCAACTGGCACCAGCTGTGACTAGGTCTCTTATACACCCAGCCTCAGTTTCCTCATCCAAAAAATGAGACCCATCTTGGGTGGATGATTCCCATCTCAGGGGGTACCCTGGGACCTAGGTGGGAGCTAAGGACACGCACCTCTCTATGAGAGGTCAAAGAGGATGGAACACACAGGCTGAGAACTCCCATGAGCCACACCCAATCTCCAGGCTCTCCTGGGGCTCCCAGGTGGCCACCCAGAAACAGCTTCGGAAGCCTGGCTGCAGATGGAGTGCCCTCTGCTGGACATTGGAGAACACGTCCCCTAGGCTGCCCTGCCTGGTCCTCAGGTCACCCACACTGATTCTCCCCTCCACTGGCTGACACTCACAAGACACTAGGACTGGGGCCACAACTGGGCAGAGGAAAGTCCTGGGACAGGTAAGAGAGGCCACTGGGTGTGGAGGAAGGAAACCCAGCTTGGCGTCAGACAGACCTGTGTTTAAACCCCAGCTCTGTGGCTGTGTGCCCTTGAACCAGTTATTCAACGTCTCTGAACCTCAGTTTCCTCATCTGGCAAACTTTGTTAAGACTGCACTAGTTGGCCAGGCATGCTGGCTCACACCAGCACTTTGGGAGGCCGAGGTGGGTGGATCACAAGGTCAGGAGTTCGAGACCAGCCTGGCTAATATGGCAAAACCCCATCTCTACTAAAAAATACAAAAAGTAGCTGGGCGTGGTGGGGGGCGCCTGTAGTTCCAGCTATTCAGGAGGCTGAGGCAGGAGAATCACTTGAACCCGGGAGGTGGAGGTTGCAGTGAGCCGAGATCGTGCCACTGCTCTCAGGCCACAGAGCAAGACTCCATCTCAAAAAAAGAAAAAAGAAAAAGAAAAAGAAGAAAAAACAGGTGTGGTGGCTCACGCCTGTAATCCCAACACTCTGGGAGGCCGAGGTGGGTGGATGACCTGAGATCAGGAGTTTGAGACCAGCCTGGGCAACATGACAAAACCCCGTCTCTACTAAAAATACAAAAATTAGGCCGGGCACAGTGGCTCACGTCTGTAATCCCAGCACTTTGGGAGGCCGAGGTGTGTGAATCACCTGAGGTCGGGAGTTCGAGACCAGCCTGACCAACATGGAGAAACCCCGTCTCCACCAAAAATACAAAAAATTAGCCGGGCATGGTGGTACATGCCTGTAAATCCTAGCTACTTGGGAGGCTGAGGCAGGAGAATTGCTTGAGCCCAGGAGGCAGAGGTTGCGGTGAGCTGATATTGTGCCATTGCACTCCAGCCTGGGTGACAGAGCGAGACTCCGTCTCAAAAAAAAAAAAAGAAGACTGCACTAGTGTTGACTGGGTGCGGTGGCCGACACCTGTAATCCCAGCACTTTGGGAGGCCAAGGCAGGAGGTTCATTTGAGGTCGGGCGTTCGAGACCAGCCTGGCCAACAAGTGAAACCCCGTGTTTACTAAAAATACAAAAATTAGCCGGGCATGGTGGTGCATGCCTGTAGTCCCAGCTACTGGGGAGGCTGAGGCAGGAAAATCACTTGATCCTGGGAAGAGGAGGTTGCAGTGAACCGAGATCACGCCACTGCATTCCAGCCTGGGCGACAGAGCGAGAGTCTCTAAAAAAAAAAAAAAGAAAAAAGATTAGCTGAGGTGATGTATAGAAATGCATGGTGGCTGGCATGCAATACGAGTTTGGTGAGTGTTGGCTGTCTTCACCCCTTTTAAAGTTCTGTGTGTCCCGAGGGCCTAGGAAACTGGGTCCAGATAAGTTAAGTCAACCTCTGTCCTTAGGCCACCTGCTCCCCACCCTCAGAACCTGTTCTTGCCTGTGTGACCTTCGACAAGTGACTGCACCTCTCTGAGCCTCAGTTTCCTCCTCAGTAAAATGTGGATTGTACCTCAAAAGAGATCATCATAAGCCAGGCACAGTGGTGGGCACCTGTAGTTCTAGCTACTCATGAAGCTGAATAGGGAGGATCGCTTGATCCCAGGAGTTTGAGACCAGCTTGGGCAACATAGTGAGACCCTCATCTCTGTAAGTAAATAAATAATAAAATAAACAATCTAAAGAGAGTAAAGAGCTAAATAAATGTCAGCTGCTCTTGTTACTCTTTTTCCTCATTAAGTTTACCATCACTTCTTGTTTTTGTTTTTTATTTTGAGACGGAGTTTTGCTCTTTTGACCAGGCTGTTGTGAAGTGACAGGATCTCGGCTCACTGCAACCCCTGTCTCCTGGGTTCAAGTGATTCTCCTGCCTCAGCCTCTCGAGTAGCTGGGATTATAGGCATGCACCACCACGTACGGCTAATTGTCATATTTTTAGTAGAGATGGGGTTTCATCATGTTGGTCAGGCTGGTCTCGAACTCCGAACCTCAACTGATCCGCCTGCCTTGGCCTCCCAAAATGCTAGGATTACAGGCAGGAGCCACTACACCTGGCCTGTTTTTTTGGTTTTTTTTTGTTTTTTCCAGAGATGGGGTCTCACTGCGTCATCCAGGCTGGAATGCAGTGGCATGATCACAGCTCAATGCAGCCTCAAACTTCTGGGCTTGAGTGATCCTCCTACCTTAGCCTCCCAAGTTACTGGACTATAGGAGTATGTCACTAGGCCTGGCTAATTTTTAATTTTTTGTAGAGACAGGGTTTTACTATGTTGCCCTACTGTCTGTCGCTAGGCTGGAGTGCAGTGGCACAATCTCAGCTCACTGCAACCTCCACCTCCTGGGTTCAAGTGATTCTCCTGCCTCAGCCTCCCAAGTAGCTGGGACTATAGGAGTATGTCACTAGGCCTGGCTAATTTTTAATTTTTTGTAGAGACAGGGTTTTACTATGTTGCCCTACTGTCTGTCGCTAGGCTGG